CTATATAATAGACCAATCCATTTTGCCAAAAATGGATAAAGTTTTCACGCTCAAACTTTTTCGGCTAAAATTGGAAATATTTATTGTATACCAATACATTTAATATATTGAATTTTTATTGATTTATTGATCCCGTGGAGATATTCCGCCAAAATATCTATCTATATATTGTCACGGGTCGTGTCAGGTACCTGGCGAGGTGACATGGCCTCTGACACGGGCTGGTTGGTCGTGTCACAGCCCGTGTCACACCCCAGCATGCATGTTTTTGTCCGTTTTGCTCGTTTCTTCCATTTTTCTCATCCGTGCATCGATCTATCATCATCCCAGGAGTCTTAGGCACTCAACATGCTTCTCCAATAGCCAAAGCTCTACAAATATGTGAAAATATCTACAAAACAAGCACGTGTAATACCTTTCCAACAAATATAGAATTAAAGCACAATAATGCAATTTATACACCAATAATGCGACAAATAAGCTCTAGATACTATATGAATATGGTGTAAAATCACACATGAACAATGATTACCAACAACATTAAGTCAACTCTTCCCGATAATGTAGATGCGAAAGCATACATTTTGCTTGTGGAAGAGTGTTTCGGTTCGCGAATAAGTCATTGGCAAGAACACTTATGGCTGAACTCACGACCATAAAGTATAATGAGTCGCGAAGTATGTAGCAACATGTTCTTGACATGACTAATCTTGGAGTAAGGCTTAAGTCCCTGGGCATGACTGTTGATGACTCATTTCTGGTGCAATTTATGCTTAACTCGTTGCCTCCTGAATATGGGTCTTTTCAAATTAACTATACCACTGTTATGGATAAGTGTGATGTTAATGAATTGGCCAGTAAGCTTGTTCATGAGGAGACGATACTTAAGGCACAAGGAGTTCACACGGTCAACCTTGTGGGTCATGAAGCTAATGATGTTCTCAAACCTAAATCCAACAAGTTTAAGAAGAAAGGACCTGCTAAAGTTCTACAGGTCATTAATGATGGAAATAAGGAAAATCAGGCAAATAAATGTTACTTCTTTGAGAAAGAAGTACACGAAACGCAAGTATTGGTTTGAAAGGAAAAGTATTTATAATATCTTTGTATGTTTCGAATCAAACTTGTCTGAAGTTCCTTCAAATACTAGGTGGTTGGATTCTTGTGCTACAACTCATGTTTCAATGTGATGCAGTGATTTCTTACAATCCAGAGCACAAACCCAAATGAGAACTTTTTTGTTCATGGGAAACGTATGAAGGCCTCAATTGAAGGTATAGGGACTTATCGTATTGTTTTATATTTCGGGCACCACCTGGATCTTTTGCGAACTCTCTATGTACCTTCATTCTCTAGAAACTTAATGTTTCTTTCTAGACTTGATGTTCTTGGGTTTTCCTTTAAGTTTGGACATAGATGTTTCAGTTTAATTAATAAACATGATTTTGTTATTGGTTCTGGAATCCTTATGGATGGTTTATATAAACTGAAACTTGATGTTGATTTTTCTACATCATTGATGTGTGTTCATCAGAACATTGAAGTTAGACATGGTGTAGCAAATGAGAACTCTGCTTTCTTGTGGCATAAATGTTTGGGTCATGTATCCAAAGAAAGAATGCAAAGGTTGGTGAAAGATAAGATTCTTTTGGATCTAAATTTCATTGATCTTGGGTTGTGTGTGGATTACATTAAGGGAAAGCAAACCAAACATAACAAGAAAGGAGCCACAAGAAGTAGTCAACTTTTTGAAATTATACACACCGATATGTGGACCTTTTGATGCTCCATCTTTTAATAGAGAAAAGTTTTTCATTACATTTATAGACGATTTTTCACGTTATGGTTATGTCTATCTGCTCAAAGAAAAATCTCAAGCTGCTAATGCACTTGAGGTTTTCATTAATGAAGTTGAAAGGCAGTTAGACAGAAAGGTAAAAATAGTAAGGTCTGATAAATGTGGTGAATATTATGGAAGATATTTCATCCAACTCGAAATATCATAAATAAGTGGTTCAAGATGAATTGGGACAAAATCCCGGTCCATGTGGAAATGCGAAATAGAACATTAATTGATATGGTTAGGAATATGATAAGTAATACATCATTACCCAAATCTTTGTGGATGTATGCACTTAAGACTGCCGTGTATCTGCTAAATAGGATTCTTAGTAAGGCAGTTCCTAAAACTCCTTTTGAGTTATGGACTGGAAGGAAATCTAGTTTGAGACACCTGCATGTTTGGGATTGTCCGGCAGAAGCACGAGTATACAACCCACATGAAAAAAAATTGGATTCTCGAACTGTGAGTGGTTACTTTATTGGTTAACCAGAGAAGTCCAAAGGGTATATGTTTTACTATCCTAATCATAGTTCTAGAATCGTTGAAATGGGCAATGCTAAATTTATTGAAAATGGTGAAGTTAGTGGGAGTGCTAAAGAGACTGTGTTAATGTTCCAATATCTACAGTTGTACCAAATAATTTCTACAACCACAAAATAATGGTGGACAAAATTTTTGATGAAGTGGCACCCCATGAAGAGACTAACTTGCCACCAACTAATATAAATGAACCACGTAAAATAGCAATAAGAAAACCTATAAGGGTTAGAAACCCTGCTATTTCGGATGACTGTGTGGTTTATTTGCAAGAGTTGGATTATGATACTAGCATTCATGAAGATCCTATTTCTTTTTTCACAAGCCATTAACAGTGACGAGTCTCATGAATGGATTGGTGCTATTAAAGAAGAGTTAAACTCTATGGCCAAAAACAATGTTTGGGATCTAGTAGAATTGCCAGAAAGTTCAAAACGAGTTAGGTATAAGTGGGTCTTTAAGACCAAACGCGACTCGAGTGGCAATATCGAAAGACATAAAGCTATATTTGTTGCCAAGGGTTATACTCAGAAAGATGACATTGATTAGATAGAGACTTTTTCACCTGTTTCTAAGAAAGATTATTTGAGGATCATTATGGCTTTAGTAGCTCAATATGATTTAGAGTTACATCAAATGGATGTGAAAACGACATTTCTTAATGGGGACTTAGATGAGGAAGTTTATATGGATCAACCCGAAGGTTTTTCTATAGAATGAAAGGGTCACATGGTGTGTAAACTTAAAGTGTCAATATATGGATTTAAACAAACTTCCAGACAATGGTATCTTAAGTTTAACTATACCATTACGCCTTTCGGTTTTCATGAAAACACTGTTGATCAGTGTATTACCAGAAGGTCAGTGGGAGTAAGTTTATATTTTTGGTTCTATATATTGATGATATCCTTCAAGGGACGAAGGATCATATGTTCACATTTAGGAAATCTGATCCTTGAGGTGATTGGATATTCAGATTCAGATTTTGCTGGGTGCCTTGACATTCGCAAGTCAATGTTTGGCTATGTGTTTCTCCTCGATGAATGAGCAATTTCATGAAAAAGTGCCAAACAGTCTGTCATAATTGCATCTATTATGAAGGTTGAATTTGTAGCTTACTATAAGGCTACAATTCATGCATTATGGTTGCGGAACTTTATTTTGGGACTTGGGATTGTCGACACCATTACCAAGCCGCTGAAAATGTATTGTGATAATTCCGCAGCGGTTTTCTTCTCCAATAATGACAAATATTCCAATGGTGCAAAACACATGGAATTAAAGTAATTTGTCGTTACGGAGGAAGTTAAAAAACAAAGAGTGTGCATTGAACATATTATAACGGACATTATGATTGTCGATCGTTAATTAAAGGTTTACAGCCAAAGACATTTAAAGAACATGTACATATAATGGGTCTTGGTTGTACTGATGATTGAATGATGATGTTATGGCACACTCTTGAGCTCATTGATGTTATGTTTCTAACTATTATTGAATTTCTTGTTCATTATGATTTTGTATACATTATGATTAGAACAAGAAATGAATGTCTTGATGACAATTAAGTGGACATTATGATATTTATATATAATTATGAAACTTGATGTGTTGAACTATTAGTGTAGTAGTATATGGAAGGAAGTATGCGGATCGAGAGTGTACAACCGCCATAACTCTCACTATATGGTTTATCATGTCATAGTTTACTATGATGTATGGCATAATGAGATTTGTTTATGCGCAACTAATGTTATACCATTATATTATGGACATTCGGACCAAGTGGGAGAATGTAAGAATATGTGGCCCGAAAGTATTGGGCTCACAATTAATTATCCTGCTGGGCTAGTCTTTAATTAATGGTCAAACATATCTAAGCCATTAATCTGGATACTTGATGGACGTACCAGATCTAAACCCACCCTATATACATTAGTCATCTCTCCTCCTATTAGGGTACGCAGTATTTTTCCCATCAGTTTTCTGCTACGTGAAGAGAAGGTCAGGAGGGAGAAATTAATTTAGATGGAACAATCAATTCAACCCCTATGTGAGCACCAAGATCACTAATTATGTTGTCTTTCGCATCAAGTAATTATTTCGTATACACTAAATTATTTATTCAAGATCCTTAATGAAGTTTACAAACAAAATTACATATTTTTTTAGTAACATTTGTTAACTTTTTTCTTACGAGAACAATAAGTAAACACAACAAAAAATTAAATAAAGTCTACCTCCAAATTCCACATAACATTATAACACACTAAAAAAATCTTAATTGGTGAAAATTATCGTATGATCAGTGGAATAAATTTTTAGCCAATGTTCTCTTTTAAGCTTCTACTCAGGATTATATATCATCATATTTTAAGTACATATACTGCAG